AAAATAGCAAGGCCAAATATGTCTAGGCAATTGTCTTCTCAGAGAAAGTTCCGTTGTGTTTCTCCTGTTAACTGGGAACAAGCTTCCAGGACAGACCAGCCCATCTCTAAATGAATCTAGCAGAAGCAGTAGGTTAGACCGCAAAGCTGAAATCACAGTGAAAGAATCCATCTAACAGGAACTCATGTGTTTTGCGGGGGAGCCATAGAGCTACTCTGAACAAGATTTTTTTTTCTGTGTTAAAAACCATTTCTAACCCTTGACTTATCTAATCCTTTTGTTTCAGTTACAAGTAAAGGTTACTCAAGAATGTGGCGGTCATCCAGATCTGTAGCTTTTTCAATCTACAATGAAATCCAGCCTGTAGAAAACATGGGCCTTGGTGTTCACTCACCTTGCCTGACCTTCAAAGCCATCAAAGGATCTCATCTGAAAAGGACGAAATAATGGCATTTAATATAATACCCCATACAATGCATAGCAGTCAAGATACTGTCAGGAGACTGGAACCACATCTGTATTTTATTTTAACTTAAATTTTTTAAGCACCATGGGTGACACCCATAGGTGGGGCTTGGTCCTGGTGGTGGAGTATGGGGTTTCCCAGGAAGGGAAGGAGGGCATGGCTGGAGTCCTCAGGATGCACTTTGTGGCTTTGGGTGTGTGGACAGAAAATCTAGAAAGAGTGAGTTTGGAGAGAAATAATTTCTCCAAGGAAGTGACAAATCGAAAATGACTTAACAAAACAAAACAAAATAAAACAAAGAAAGAAAAGAAAAAAAAAAGCATCAAGGATCTTATGGTAGAAATGCTTTATTGTCTCTGTGGAGAAAAATCAATGAGCGTTTTAGAGCGAAGAGAGGGGAATCGTGGGTTTCTCAGTGCACATTGTCCACCAGGTGCAGTGACAGCTTCGCCTCAGGGGAAGATTTCAAAGTGACAGGAGAAAGGAGGCTACACGGGACGAGTAACAGGCCAGCTGGGGAGCCGCTCTGACTGACCGAATGGCAGTTTTTTTTCAGAACAGGAAACTGACTCAGAAAAACTTTATACTTAAATGTCATGAGGAAAGGAAAATGGACCCAATAAAAGAAATCTTTGATTTAAAGAAGGAAGAAGAGCTTGATAATCATGTTAAATTGATAGAACAAGCAGCGGGAGACAAGTGTGAGACCAGAAGTTAATCAATGGCAGTTATCAGTGAAATGGGATCAGAGAGGAAGCCCAGGACAATGGGCAAAGAACACTGGACCACACTTGGGAGGAGGGTGGGACAGGAAGCTTGAGAGAAAGGTTCCCAATTTGCATAAAAGAAGGAGACAGTGATGTGCCCACAGCTTGGCCCCGAGGCTGTTGACAAAGGAGGCAGAATGACTCCAATCTGTTCTTCCATCCTCCCTCTCTTAAGGGTGTGGGCTTCACACTGGAAAGAGTAGAACAAAGAGTGTGTGACAAGGGAATTACAACCAAATAGAGGTAAGGAAATAGTGATGATCAGGCCCCAGTGAATTATGTCTGCAGATTCAAGAGCTAGAACTATCTGAAGCTGGTGTCAATAATCCATGAGAAATTGTAGAGAATCGGTGCCATCCTGCTGACTGCAGGTGAGTTGTCTTGGTCCTTTGGGCTGCTCTAACAAAACAGCATAGAGTAGGTGGCTTGCAAACAGAAAACATTCAGTCTCACGGTTCTGGAGTCTGGGCACTCAAGATTAAGGTGCCAGCAGATTCGATGTCTGGTGAAGAAGAATCGCTTCCTGGTTTATAGGTGGCCTTCTTCTCGCGGTGTCCTCACATGCTGGAAGGGGACAGGAGCTCTCTGGGGTCGCTTTTATAAGGGTGCTAATTTCCTTCGTGTGGGCTCTACCTTCATGACTTAAGTGTACCTCCCAAAGGCCCCAGCTCCAAATACCTTCACAGTGGGGATTAGGGTTACGACACAGAATTTTTGGGAGGGCACAAGCATTCTGTATGCAGCATGAGCTAACACCATTTTCAGCAGAGCCACTACTTCCTCATGATGCCTTTCCATCTGTTGGAAAATTATCATAATATAGTTTTTAAAGAATAAGATACTTCATAGCCTTTTGCCAGAACAATTGTTATAATAGTCAATACTCAAATCTACAATATCTACCATGTATATTGTCCCTCTTTATATGTAACACTTTAATATATTGCCAGCATGGATGTTCAGTACATAAAATATACAGACACTATAGGACAAGAGCACGGTGCAATCCTTGGAAAAGTCAAAGAATACTCAACTATCTTACTTAGGGACATTTAGAAAAAAATGGAGTGATCAGTAAGGACTCATTAGGTTTGCCAATTAATGGAGAAAAGTTAAGTTGGAGAGAGATTTGTAGGGCAGACTATAGTGTCCTACCAGCAGTTCTGCCCTAGTTAGCAATTTCTAGATGGCATATGCCTCAAATTTTCAGATGTGATGCTGAGAGGTTAGGAATATAGAAATATTGGGTAGTAGAATCAGGGTGCCCAAAATGTTGATAGATCAAAAAGATGGACTAATTTGTGAAAATTCTATTTTATCGGGACAACCTGTAGATCTCGACCCATGAGTCTGAAAACGCCACAAGGATAGGATGGGGGAAAGATATGGTTCAAAAGAAATGTGTGAAAAAAAAAAAGAATTTTGTGGCTGGGAATTTCAACATAAATAATTAGTAAAAAGTGATTTCTATAAAAGGTTTTGGGGTTGCGGGCCACGTCAGTAAAATTATTAGAATAACAGAGATTAGGGCCCTTTTCTAATTTTTTTTTTTTTTTTTTAGCTCAAACCAGGATTTTACATTTGATTCTAGGTTCCATACATGAAGATAGATGTAAGTAAATTGGAATAAATTCAAATGTTTGTCTAGGAAAGCGAGGGAAGTGGAATTATGTTGTTTGTGTAGCAGCCTAAGGAATTGGAGGCATTAGCTTGTGTGACAGGAAAAACTAAAAGAGAAAAAAATTACTTGTAATTTACAACTTTCCCATTGAATGGTTGTGGATAAACATTCTTTTGTTTGCTGAAAGCAAAGACTTCCTTGGGATAATAACCTTTGGCTTTCTGGGATGCTAGGAAAAAACTAGAGACTGAACAGGGGCAGCTAAGGGGAAAGATTTTGAGGAGAAGGCATGTGTTGGATGGGGGTTAGAGGGGTGTGAAATCTTTCCTCCTGCACATCAACAAAATCTTTGGTAAAGGTTATATTGCTCGCTCTTGCCGTAGAAGGTGTTTGTTGCTGCAGGATGGGATGAAGCGTTGAGTTCTGCTTTGAGGTATGCTAGGTCACCTTGGAAAAAGGTTTTCGTAGAGAAGATAATGCTTTCAAAAGGCTGTCAATTGAGAAAATTTGCAGCAGTTGCTCTCTTAATTCTCTTTTAATCTAACACAGTTCCCCTCCAGCCTCTCTGTCATGCTATTCATTCGTGGAGTTAATATAGTCATTTCTTCTGCAGAATTTCCTGCATTCTGGATGTGGCCAGTTGCTTCTCACGGTATTTAACTTGATTTTCTATCCTGCTGTCTCCCATATTTTCTATAGACTAATAGTTATGTCTAAAGACTCAATTAGATTCAGGTTCAATTAGTTTGGCAAGAACAATTCGTAGAGTTTGCTCTATACTTCCTATGTCTCACATCGACACACACGATGTCCCATTTTCTCAATTTTTGCGTGATGCTAAGATGATCAGTGGATTCGAGAGTTGTCGACCTGATCCATCCATTATAAATTTTCTCATCAATTCAATAATTTAGCATCCAACAATGACTGTTGTCTAGATTCATTGTTTCATTAGGTGTTGTAAAGTGTTATGTCTAATTTTATCATTCCTTCTGCACATATTATCTACAATTTATCTATAAAGAATAACTTACTGATCAACTGTTTGGTTACCCTGAAATGTAATTCATACTGGAAAAGTAGACTAAATGCTTATTCTTGCCTTTTACATTTTTCAGAATAGTAATTTGATGCCTTAGGGCCTCTAAAAGTGCTGAATGCTTATTGCTATTATTATTGTTATTATTAATTTTTCAAGATGATAGCATAACCTGGGCAGCACCCTCAGATAGTTTTCTTGTTCCTTTAATTCTTGACGGACATTACCTTGTATGGTTCAATCTTTATTCATCATGTTTCTATTGTTTATTCTTTCATGAAGTAGTTCTGGGTGGGACAGATGATGGTAGAAGCAATCTTTTGGGGTGGCTAAATCGACTGGCCCTGGATTCTGGTAGATTCAAATCTGGTACAAATCCTGGCCCCAGCACTTAGCAGGTGGATGATCCTAGCCACATCACCAAACTTCTCCAAGCTTCAATTTCTTCTCTGTAAAAAGTAGGCTAATAATATTCACTTCGAGTCTTGTTGTGAGTGTTAAATGAGATAATGTGAATGAGACACTAAACACAGAGCCTAGAAGGTAGTGCGGATTGGAAAAATGGGAGCTGTTATTATGAGAAGCCTCCCGAAATAAACTTTCCCTCACTGATCCATCCAGACATATGAGAATCTCCCAAACGTCAGGACTTCCTACCCGCCAGCGCCATGGGGCTTGCTCAGTCCTGCACCTGAATTCAGGTGTAGCTTTATCCATCAGAAAATCAGGCAGCTGGGTCGTTTAAACCTGTCCTGAAGAAAACTCACTCCCCTCCACCCCCGCCCTTTACTGTGCTCACTGATAGTGTTTTTTAATTTTGAAGTTATTTATTACATACTTATGTTTCTTTAAACACGTAAGTTCTGGTGGACTTTTGCATGAAAATGAAAAATATTTCTCATGATTGTGGCACATTAGCCCTCCTGACTCACTCTCCATCCTTTACCCTGCTCCATGACAGGAAGCTGTTCCAATACACTACATCAATGGGTTTCCTTCTCCTCTGGCTTCTGGCTCGGTTTGGCCAATGGGAGCCAATGGGAGCCACTTGGAGCGAGGTCACGGTTTTTTCCTGCGGCTGCCTCACTGCCAGGTCATTGTGAATTGGCTGTAACCCCTACTGCGGGCTGAAGCTCCTGTCTGCAGCCCTCTCCAGATCTCTCTCTGTTTCTGGTGTGCACTAACTCGTCATCAGGTGACAGCTCCCTAGCATTTTAAGCCACCAGGTAGTGTACTATTCACGGCTGCTTTTTCTAAATCCTACCCTTGACTTTGTAAATGCTGCCTTTGTAAAATGTGCTTAAATTTTTAAGTGTGTTGCCACCTGGGTCCTGCTGAGCAGTAGGTAAAAAGTTGTTTATTGAGTAAAAGACCTAAAATAATAGGTCTTTGTTTACTGAGTAAAAGACCTAAAATAATAACCAATCATAGGGGATTTGTTTAACATTATAGTGTGTCTATAAGACGCAATAATATGTAGCCATCGAATCCAAGTTTTTAAAAAAATATTTAATGACAAATGAAAACATTTATGGTAAAATATTCAGGATTACCCAATTTTATAAACTAAAGTGTGTCTATGTGTGAGCATGTAGAAAAAAATCTAGAAGTTAACGTAAGTTCTATATAGTGGCTGATTTTAAATTAATTTATGCTTTTTATGCTTCCCAAATTAAAAAATAAAAAAGTTAAGTTTTGTAAGAATAAAATCAACATATTTCATAATTTTTATGTTATTAAAATTAGTTTTCAACCTAATGTCATGAAAGTCAATTATATTAATACCAAAAGAGTTACTTTGGGCAGATATTCTTTCCTATTTGTATATTGTTATGATGTCTGTAATTTGCTTTAAATTGCTTCAGCATAGATATATGTGAGAAGGAGAGAATGTGTGTGTGTGTGTGTTAGTCTGAGCTACTCTCTAGGGACTGTCACTTGTCCTAATGAACAATTCGCACCCCAGAGGTGATCAGCCAGCATTTAATCAGAAAGGTCATACCCAAAAGGCAGCTGCTACAGCATTTAAGTTGTCTACATCTTAATCACTACCAGAGACTTTATTAATTAACATAATGAATGTCAGAAATGGGGCTTCATGAATGAATTTTATGTCTTGTTAATCCGCATAATAGATGTTGGAAATAGGCTCTTCTTAGTGAAGTGAGAGGTTCCCCAGATATGTGGACTGGCTCTAATATTTTAGAGACAGTTGCCACCCAATAGCTCGTTCTCCTGGGAATGGCACTTGAGGTTTGATACTTGAATGGGCCTGTGTGGAGCCACAGAGTGGGATGGTTCTGGTTGTGGTCCTTGGACAACAAAGGCAGCAGAATCCTGCCTCTGGAATACTGTGGCACCTGCCCCTGGTTAATGTTCCGCGCAATGAAACACTAAAAATCAAAAGCGGTTCTATGATCTGCTTTGTGCCTACTTACCAGTAAGAGTTTGTTTAATTGATATCTATACATATGGCATCTGTACATACTGGTCTGAGATTTGCTTTCATAAAAACCTGATAGGTTTGGGGAGAGTAGCTTACTCCTTCCCTCTAAATTTTTTGGTTTGGCCAAGACAATAAACCCGAGAATCTTGGATGACCAAAGTAGCTTGAGTCCATTTGCAACATAGAGCATTTGGACTCTAAGGCACAGATATTCTCTAGGGAGGTATTGGGATACTATGACTTGCAAAAGAGCTATTGGAGGATCAAATCAGGATGGAAAACACTCTTTGACCAGTTGAAATAGCTAAAGGATATTCAGCAGAATGAGATGTTCACTTAATCCCAAAAAGTTAGCCCTTGTTGTTCATTGTGCCCTGTGTCTTTGCAGAGTTCCTGGCACCCATCTGCTTCTAAAACCAGGATGTTGCAAGTAGAGAATAGATCACACCCCTAGTTGGGTGGGAGCATCCCAGAAGGTAAGCATCTGGAGGAGGATGGAGGACCCTCCCAGGTCAGAGGAGGAGCAGAATGGTTCTTTAAAATAATTTCAGGGCTGAAAGGGAAATCATGGCCTCTTCCAAGTATCCTTGGGTCTCTCTAGGTGATAGCACATAGACCTAAATCACCCAAGGCCTTGGCGCCTTCTGGAATTAAGAAGTAAAACATTAGGAGTTGTGAGAACTTTGAATATATTTGCACACTGAGCTTGCTTAGGGTTTCTTACAGTCATCTATACCCTTGTAATGTGCATCAATTATGAAGTCACATATAAATAATATTTTTGTTTACTAAAGTTCTGCTTTTGTTCTAAACCTATTGAGGCAGCTGAATAATATTGCCTGTATTGCAAAGAGGTTAATTCACTTATTATTTAACAATACATTTTTATCAGCTACCTTAAACTGATAAACCTTGAGATGCAGTTCTGTTCCAAAAGGCATCATGTGACCAGCTCATCGAATAAACAAGACTTTACTTTTTCTCTAAACGTCTCTGCTGACTTGTCTTTTCCTGCTCCTGGATGAAACTTTGGGCAGCTCTCATGGCTTTTCCAATCACTCTCAGGCGTTAACACATTGTCTATTTTCCAGGCATTAATAAGCCCAGTCGTGTTAAAAGCGAACTTCAATCTTTTGTCCAGTTTAAAGCCTCTCCTCTCCCACAGGCGGGAGATTAGCAGTGGGAAAAGGGGGTGCGGTTGGATTTTTCACTATTCCTCATTCTTCTACTTTTTCTCCTCTACTCTGTCGCTCTGGCTCCTTCTGGTTTAGGGCTAGAAAGGGAGGGAGAGTAAGATGCAGAAAAATACCATTGTAGATTATCACAGCATCCTGTAGTCTCCATTGGTTCCCCCCGGGCAGGGCCAGTGGATAAATACTTACAGGGCTCTTTCTTGGGTTCTTCAGAGACCTCCTTCTGGGGCCCTTCTGCTTCTGCTCCTTGCTGTGGCACTTTCCCAGGACAGTCTCTGACCCTCAGTGGCTCCCTCCACACCTCTTCTGGTGGGATCACCTTGTTCCTTCAGATGGCTCGAGCCCTCTTCCCTTCTGAGCTATCCATCGCTAACACCCGGGAAGCATATGTGCATCTTTACCCCTCCATACTCTTCAAGCGCAGGACGGTTTCAATGCAGCCCTCTTCACTCTGCCACCAGTGGCCCCTCTGGCCAGCCAGCTGCTCACATTTTGACAGTTTCAGGTACAGACAGATCAGCTCCAGACTCTGTCCTTCAAGCACCAGAGTATACCTATCAAGCTCTCTGGGACCTGAAACCCATCTCATGTGGGTTAGGATGCAAACAGCTTCCCACACCCTTCCCACTTTCCACTGGGAAGAGAGCAGAAATGCCACAGCCCATCAAGTAGTTTTCTAAAAAAACTTCCCACTAACCAATCTCTGTGACAAATCCTCCAGCCTACCCCAATGTGACGAGTAAAGAACTTTAACACCTGCTTCATATTTCTTAGCACATCCTACATAGGTGGTCTTGTTCTATTGTTCTCAGCCAACACTCTGCTATGAGTGGGAAAGTCATATGTAACCTCCTGTAACTCTACACGCACCCAGAAACAGTTCTGGTTAAAGTGAAACATTCCAGCAGAGTCATGATAATTAAGATTCTCCTGCAATAGAAGTGGTAATGCCTGCTCTCAAAATCTATCAGGCCAACATCATCATATTCCCTGAGATTCACTATGACGAATTTGGAGACTTAAATCAAACACATTAAATACTCAGGGTTATTTATCTTTTGGGAATTCCTTTGAGACCTCCATTTTTCATTGATAGCCAGATGGTTTCTGTCAATATCCCAGGCAAAGTTGGAGCTATACCAGCTGTCTCCAGCGTCTCTTTGTCTGAGACCCATGTCAGGACAGAATGGGCAACTCCCTGAATAGTTTTTATAGGACTATGATCTAATTCCATGGCTTTCATTGAAGGTCAATATAATGAGCCACGATACACAACTTCCTTTTAGCTATACTAGACATATACTAGGAAAAGAGCAAATACAATGGAGAAATAATCAACTACCTTTCATCTTCCCACAGATATCTAAGTCGTAAGATAAAGCTGGCAATTCCGAGGATCCCATGGAAGAGTGGAAGAGTGCAGAAACACCAGCATTGCCTTACAACTCTCGTGACAACAAAAGAATGTGTGATAAGGAGGCACAAAACTGAAAACTGGCACGTTGCAGGTGGTTGTTCAGCCTCATTTTGGGACACATCCTATTGCAAGTAGATAGCAGAACAATTTTTTTCTGGAGGTTGTGATAACTGCATCTGGGCCAGAATGAAAGCAGAAACAATTGGAAATACTTAGTTTAATTGCCAAGAACAAGAAGAGCAATTGTAACAGCAGTAGAAAGTAGCCTTTGAGTAAATATTCTCCCTGTGCCCCTATGTGCCCCTGCCAGCCTCCGTCACAATCTTCACAGCCCATAGCAGCGTTTCTCAAACTTTTATTTATTACAGCCCAATAAAGAGTGTTTTAAGACATTTTTTCCTAATCTCCTTCTTCTGTGAGAACTTAATACCACAGATATATCTGTTTATGTGCTTACTGTGTATATATGTATATATATACACATATATATCTATGCTTGATACATAAAAAGAATGATTTTCATCCTCTGTCATCATTTCCTAGGACTGCCTTAGAAAGAACCACAAACTGGGTAACTTAAAACAACACAAATTTATTCTCTTACGGATTTGGAGACTAGAAGTCCAAAATTAAAGCACTGACAGGGCTGTGCGCCTCCTAAAAGCTCTGGAGGAGGATCCTTCTTTGCTTCTTCTAGCTCTGGTGGCCCCAGGCATTCCCTGGCTTGTGGCTGTGTAACTCCAGTCTCCACCTCAGTCTTCACGTAGCCTTCATTCTGTGTCTGTCTCTCCTTTTCTGCCTTTTATGAGGACACTCATTGGATTCAAGGCATAGCCTCATCCAGTATGATCTTATCTCATGCTTTACCTTAATCAGATCTGCAAAGACCCTATTTCCAAATAGAATCATTCTGAGATTCCAAGTGGATATGAATTTTGGGGGATACTATTAAACCACTACAGATCCCAAGAAACAATTTTTTTTTTGCCCTTTTGGAGTTGATATTATCTTGGTTGAGAATGTGTAGCCTGGAGAATAAATATTCAAAGGCCAACCAGAAGCTAAATCTGACTTACTTGGAGGAGTGAAGCTTGCCATCTCTCTGAAGAGCTCCTACAAATCCTCTCTCGGTGAGTTTTGTAGTTCTCTGCTGAGAGATGCCATGCTCCCCGGAGGAAAGTCACGGCACTATCAGTCCTTCCTACATCCCTCACCTAGCTTCTGAAGCGTTCCATAATTCCTCTCCACTTCAACTGCATCCTCTGTAAAGTGGAGAGAATAAGAGCATCTGCCTCCTAGAGGTGATTTTGGCGTTAATTCAGGTCATTCACAAAGAGGAGTTAACTCCGTGCTTACAAGAGAAAACATGCTCAGTAACTTACTAGTAGTCGTTTTTACTATTATTCTTTTTTTTTTCCTTCTCTATGTCTTCTCCAAGAGATGGTGCTTCCAGTTCTTCCTCTGTCCAATTCCTCTCTCTGGCAATGAGTTTTGAGGCTTCTTTTCCGGCTGTCTCGCCCATGATTCCCATTAATGACAGCTGATCTGATCTTTACGAACTTCAGTTTCACTTCTCATCAGACAATCATGAAAACACCTGTCCTTGGCCCACCGAGGAAGCCTTACGATAAGCAGGAAAGCCATGCACAAGGGAGGGCCAGTCCATCAATGTCGTGAGCCAACCATGTCACGAAAAACCTGGCTGCATTGGCCAGCCCTGGTACATTCCCCTGAGGGCTTGTCCGTGTGTCACCTCTTCTGGAAAGGTAAGGAATCTATGCATTAGCTTTTCTGAGAAAATGTCATATACTTGCAAATAATCTGTATTTCAGAATATTCAACTCTGCATGTTTCTAATTTTAGGCTTTTTCTCTTTTATCTTTATTCCATGGGTAAAACTCCACTGCAGAAATAAAGGTGGAGAGAGTACCCTTAACTCCATCAGCCTCAGAGGGATTTCAGTCAAGTGGTCCCTTTCACAGGACAGAACACTCTCTCTTGTGGTTTTGATTTTAGCTCTGATAAGCAAGTTGAGTTTTGTCTTCACAATTCCATCCTCTTCCTCCAAGTCGCACCCAGAGTTCTTGGTCACATAGTATTGTGTTTATGATCATTTAAACAATTTTGGTTTTACATACTCCTTGGCAGAGCTAAGCATTTGTAGGGACTTGAATGATGTTTAGGGACCATGGCTTAAAGGATATGCTGATTATTCTCTCCTCCAGATAATCTATCGCATATCCTTGAGTCATACTACATCAAAGAGACCCAAGAAGGGGGCTGCCCTGCCCCAATGCATGCAAAGTTAGCTTTACTGAATTACTTCTCAATTTGATGCCTTCGGCCTCTGTTGGGGTCCTAGGAACCAAGCCCTAGGAAGCTTCTCTTTCTGCCCATTAAAGAGCAATGCTGATGGTGTCATGCTTTCCTTCCCCGGTATCCTCTTGGGAAATTTCTTCACCAAGAAGATCAGCGCTTCTCTTGAAGGATGGGTTTGTGTTTTGCCTCTTGGATGTTGGGAATTGTATAGATCTCCATGCTTCTTTTCATGTATTGGAAGCTGCAAAACTTAGAACCAGTTGGTGGGTCACTATAACCAGGCTGAAGACACCCCCTCCCCCCAACTCATTCCTGTCCCTTTCCTTGTATTTTTTTTCCTTCTGCACCATTTAAAATTTGTGTTCTTTTGTTGTGTTTTAGTCTTCCTTGTAAGCTCCCTCATATCCTTTCTGGAATAAAATGGGAACACATTTTTGAGTGAATAGATATTTAGCTGGGAGAGGAATTAGACTAATTCTGCGTGATCCCTTTAGGCAAAATAAGGATTCCCTCCCTCCATGCCTTTATCCCTCTTCCTAATTATTCAATAGATATCTAACATATGCCAACTAAAAAATATCAAGAACTGAACTAGGAGGCTGAGGAAGATAGAGGAGGCAGCTTTTAACTATTTAAGAACAGAATTTATAACACTCACACCTGCCCAAAGATAAACAGTTACCACTTGCACCAGAGCTTCATAATTGACAAAGTGCTTCTACACACATGTGACTTAGTTTTGCCTTCACAGTGCTGATTAATAGTAGGTAGTATCTTCATTGGTCAAGAACCTGAACTTCATTTTTCTTCTTAGCTTTAACAAGAATCTCAGCCAAGGTAACTCAGCTGCTAAAAGCAGGAGATAGGAATTAGTTCCTGGTTTTCTGGTTTGGGACTCTTGTATGTCTTTCCATGACCTGATACTACCTACCACCTAACCCCTCTGCCTCCTCCCCCTCCACACATGCTCCCTGTGTGGTGGGCATACTCTATCAGTCTGAATATGCTCCATTTCACTCTGACATCATTTTTACCCAGAACGTGCATATCATATCACAGTGTCATTTCTGTTTTTATTCTCTGTGATTTAAAAGCCATTGGCAATATGCCAAAAACATTTCTGCTTTCATGCTTCAAAGCTTTGCTTCAGGAGATAGAGTCTTTCATTCAGGGGCCATATGAATGCTGGTTGGAAAGTAGCGGGGTCTGTGTGCCTGTCATTCAACACTCTATCAGATTCAGCACGTAGTTTTTGAGTCACCACACACCACTACCTCTACCTGGGAGGTGAGCTCTAGTTTGCTCTTAGTGTGTGCGCCTTCTGTGGGGTATCTTAGGGAGAACGAAATGGTGTATTCTGGAACAGAGCTAGTGCTTCTCAGAGCATGCCCCACCAGCAACTGTTAAAGCACTTGCCTCTGCAAAACCAATATAAACTTGGACAGTATTATTATTTTGGGGTGATGGTTAGGGGAGACTCCTCACCATGTCCTTATTTAGCATGAAGAAGTATACATTTCTAGCATACTGATTTATTTAAACAAGGAATACCGAGTCATCCCTTGTTATCCTTCCTAAAACTCATTTTATCTTGCTGAAATTCCTCAAAACTTATGGCTTATGAATGGTACTCTACCTTAGCTTACGGAAAGATGCGATTTCTTCCTATTTTTATAGTTCTTTGGTCATTTCAATAGGGCTCTTGAATATTTAGTATATCAGGCAGGGTAAGTCAGGTTGTGCCGTAGTAAGAATACACCTCAAGAAAATTCCACAGAATTTTATTCCTTGCCTGGGTCCACTGTGGATCAGCTGAGGCCTCTACTCCTTGCCGTCTTCACTGTGGGACCCAGGCTGATGGAACAGCCACTACCTAAGTGGAGCTGGTTGCTGTGGCAGTTGGGAAAAGACCGTCTTAACTAGACCTTAAAACTTCAACCCCCCAAGCAAGTCACTCGGCTACACCTCACTTCAAGGAGCAGGGCAAGTGCAAACCAGCCATGTGCCTGTGATATTTGGTGCAGCGAATTAGATCCCTGTTCTATGTTTTAATCTTATCTGGAAATTTCAGCGTTTCTACTTTAGGCAAAAACCGGGTAAAGTTTTATTAGGGTTTTGGAACCTAGAGACTAAATTTGCCACTTGCTGCCTTGTACTTTTGGATAGGTCCCTTACCCTTCTTCTGAGTCCAGTTCCCCTATCTTAACATTTCAGTCCGCTGGCCTGGCTACCTTCATAGGACTGTGTGAGTTTATCAATGAAATACTACATATCACAATATTTTGAAATGTGAAAAAAGCTTTATAGATAAAGATTATTTATATTATCGCTGTATGTCTCTTTTGGGTAGAATAATAATTCTAATTCATATCACTTAGATCAAAGATGAAACATAAAGATGGTACCTTTCTCTGCAAATGATTACATCACTTCTACTCAAATATCAAGAACCATTTAAAAATTAATGCACAATGCACTGGAGAAAAGATCATCTATGAAAAGAGTACCATTCGTAAAAGGTAGCACTTGACATGACTTTCCAATAGTGACTTTCATGGGAGTCTAGACTCATGGGTCATTTAATCTGCAGACATTTATGGGAATATCTTTAATTAGACCAGGAAGAATCATCTTCACTGTTTGCTGGCCCTCTTTAAATTGACAGGTAGAAGACTGACTATTAGAAAAGAGCACACAACTCTTTAAAACTGTAAATTGTGAATGGATGATAAGATTTCCTGGGTAGTCTGAGGGGCTCAATGATAGCAGTTCATGATGATCTTCCCTCCTTGGGGCTCCTTAGAAGGGAGCATTGGCCCTCTATGATCTTCTTAGGTTCAGCAAGACAGTTTGCATTTGTCCCAAATTTCACAGGACACCATGGAATGTATGACTTTTAAGCCCCTTCAGAACCCTCTACACTGGGTACAGATCCCCAAGTGGGTAGCACTTTTGCCTCACAAAAGTTTGTCCTTTGTTTTTGATTTTTCTCGTTTACTAAATACTAATTAAATATCTATAAGGTACCAAGCACTGTGCTAGCGACCTAGCTAGTCGATGCAAGATTAACAAG